TCATACAATTGGGGAATAATGATGCATCATTGGCTGAACAAAAAGTGATTTCACAGTAATTGGCCAGTTTGAATGCCAAGCTTGACAAGATGCAGCTCTCAACATCCAAGGTTGATGTGTTTGATTGTGAGTATTGCAAGGAGCCGCATGATACTAATGAGTGCCCTACACTCAATAGAGCTGAACCATTCCAGGTCAATGGAATTTGGTATGATCCAAGGCCTCCACAGAATATTCAAGGTTACCAAAGGAATCAGAATGGCGGCCAAGGAAATAACTTTCAAAGGAGGAATCAAGGGAGCAACTTGGATTATAAATCCAACAACTATCTGCAACCTCCTCATCTGCCACAAAAAGAGCCATATGAATTGAAGAAAACGATGATACAACTTTCCAAAACCACTAATGATCACATAAATGAGACAAGAGCCTACCACAAGAACCAAGACGCTTCAATCAGAAACTTGGAGACTCAAATTGGCCAACTTTCAAGACAACTAGCTGAGAGGAGTCAAGAAAAGAGCGATGCAGTGTCAAAGGAGCAATGCAATGTCATCACTACAAGGAATGAGGAGCTAGAAAAAGAGAAAGTTGAAGTTTATACAAGAAAGGATGAACAAGCTCAAAAGGATGAAGAAGAAGCAAAGGAACAAACTCCTGCATTTCAAAAGAAGTAATGAGATTTCTCACGTTTTGAGAAACTCCAATATCCAATGAGGCCAAAGCAAAATGAGCAAAGGAAGCAATTGTCTAAATTTTTAGATATTTTTAAGAAATTGCAGATTAATATTCCTTTTGCAGACACTCTGGAGCAAATGCCCTCATATGCCAAATTCCTGAAGGAAACATTATCTAAGAAGAGGAAGCTCACAGAGGATGAATGACACGAGCTGTCGAACTCGCGCAAATTAAAAAAAAAAATTATTAGGGTTCAGAAAATTTGTAGTAAAGTGGAAACCCTAAGTCGTCTCTCAAGGAAATTGTTTTGGTAAAAATCGCTTATGATGACAGAAAATTAAAAGGGGGTTTTGGATTTTGATTGAATAATTAAAAAGGCAGAATATAAATTTGGAATAAAAATTCGTAATTAAAAATTAACCAACCTAAGGTTAGGGTTCCATGGACGTCTTTCCTCGGATAAAAAGATATCAGAATCGTGATTGATCGTCAATTGAATCAGAATCCTTATTTCCAATTGACAACCCTCTCTAAGCGATCGTTTAGCATTTGATCAAATACAGTGCTTCTACTCATACAATCGCAGAGTATCAGCACGTTTGATTTAAGGTCATAGGGTCAATCAATCTAACCATCAAATCTGATGATTAACCCATTTCCATAATCGCAATCGCGAACCTCAGATTGAATATCCACGATCGCACGATATCAATCTGAGTTAGGAAGGGAAACGAAACTGATTTAAAATAAAGCGCAGACCCTCAAGACTAATCCATGGAATCCGTTACCCTTAGGTTGATTAAAAGGTTCTTAGCCTCGCATGGCTAAGGTAAACATGATTAAAATAAAATAAAAAGAAGAAGAAGAAAAAGATGAAAAACGCGAAGAACGCTCCAGAGAAAGTGCTTTGATCCTAAAAATACGAAAATTCAGAATGAATCAAGTGTTTTCTACTCTGCCGTCATATACCCCTATCCAAAGCGGGTTAGGGTTCAGTTCTGAACGGCCCATCTATCTAAAGTGCGAAATAAAATAAATAAAATAAAATAAAATAAAACTTGGCTTTGGGCCACTAAAGTTGTAGCGTCTCATTAACCAACTTCTCAATCTCATTCTTTTGGAAGTGTGGGTAACGGTAAGGACGTACTCGCACGGCCTTTGAATCTGGCTGAAGGAGAATACGGTGATCAATGTGTCTGGTTGGTGGAAGGAATGTGGGTTGAGTAAATATATCCTGGAATGTATCCAAGAGCTGTAGGACTTCAGGAGATTGTGAAGTGGTGTCAGAATTTGTAATATCTGAAGCCTGAGTAGTGAGGCACATCAAGTAAGAATCCACTGAATCCTGGGACATCAATTTATGCAATTGGGCTGTGGAAAGAGGTTGGGCCAGGAGTAAATGCTCTCCTTGGAGTAATACTTGGGTCCCTTGAACGTCAAAAGACATGGTGAGAGCTTTATAGTCAGTTAGGATAGGACCTAAGGTAGAAAGCCATTAGACTCCAAGAACAATGTCCGCCCCTTTTAGCACCAATACAAATAAATCAACAGTGAAGGGATGAGATTGGATCAAGAGGAGAATATTCTGACAGACTGCCGAATAGATGAGTGCGTCACCATTTCCCACTTGCACCTTAAAAGGGTTAGTGGACAACAACAACAAATTGAGAAATTGGGACATCCTTGGTGTAATAAAATTATGGGTACTGCCCCCATCTATCAGTATCTGTACCAGCAACAGAGCCTTGTAATCGAAATGAGCGAGATGAGTGAGTGCCAAATAAGGCATTAAAACTGATCTCAGGTAACACCTCAGAGTCCGATGAAGGTTCGTCTATTGAAACAACATCCGGAGGATCAGGATCATCATCCAGTCCTTCCAGGTATAGTAATGTTGCTCTCCCTTTGCATTTGTGACCCATGACAAATTTTTCATCACAATTGTAACATAAATTCTTTTCCCTTCTTTCTTGTCTTTCAGCTTGAGAAAGCCTACGAATAGGAAGAGCAGGTAAAGGTTTTGCAGTGTCTGAATGTGTTTGGATACTGGGGTTAATAGGATGTGATGGGGATGGGATTGTTGTGGATACACGGTTGGCTGAGTACCATGGTTTTTGAGGTTTCTCATCATGGATATGGTCTTCATACACCCTAGCCAATGCATAGGCCTCATGAAAGTCTTGAGGTCTGTGTGTGAGCACTAAACGTTTGATTTTAGGTTTGAGTCCTGAAATGAAAATGCTCCTTAGCATGGGATCTAAAACTGCAGGGACTCTGCTCACCAATTTTTCAAAGGCTGCCTGGTATTCAGTAACCGAGCCAGACTGTTGAATTTTTACTAATGCTCCTGCTGGATCATCAAACTCGGATGGGCCAAAACGATATTGTAAGGCCACACAGAAAGCATCCCAATCAGGTAAGCAAGTATCTTGAAATTAACCATTAAACCAACAAGCAGCAGGATCGAACAAATTAATGGCAGCTAAGAGGACGCGCTCCGGAGGAGGAATGTTGTAAAAATGAAAGTACCTGACAGCTGCAGTAATCCAGGAAGTAGGATCTCCGGATGAAAATTTGGGGAAATCGAGCTTAACAGTGCGAGCTCGGTTAGAGTCAGATCCAGTATGATTGGCGTTGTGATTTGGGCCAGCACCCAGAATACTCATATTGGCATTATTGGTGTACGTTGGGGAATGTTGTTGCTGAAGTGCAATAAGCCGTGTCAAATCCTGATGTAAAAGAGCATTGGATTCTTGTAAATTTGTTTGTAATTCATGAAGATTCAAATACTGGCGTTCACGTAATAATTCCGCAGCATCAAAACGTTGATGTAATGCATCAACTCTATGATTGAGGTCCTGTTGCAGGGAATCAACCCTATTGGAAACATCTTTAAGGCGGGTATTTTCAGCCATTGGAAAGGGAGTTCAACTCTCAATGAAAGCACCAAATGTTAGGGAGAAAGTTCAGAAAAGAGAGAAGTTAGGGAGAGAGATTGAGAAGAGAGAGAAGTTTGTTGCAACTGAATCAGATGCCTTTTCTTACTTTCTTTCATTACTATTTAAACATCAATTGAAAATTGCAGAATTAATAAAACACTAATTAATAATGCAGAAACAAACTAAAGTATGTGACTCCCGTTACATATAACTACTACCCACGATAGCTACACCTATTGTATTACTAATTAGGCTGCCTCAGATGACATACTGGTCCAAGTATTGAGGACGTTTGGGCTTACGCTTAGGCTTGGTTGTAACATGTAGCCCTTTGCAAATAATTGTCATAATAATGATAAGGAACATGCCTAGGCTTTGACTCAAAATGTTATTCTGTGTTATGTAAAATTATGCAGTATTATTTTTTTAACAATCCTCAATCTAATAAGGCATTGCCTAAAGATAAATGACAACGGCTCCAATTAAAAGTTTTCTTGGTTTGACAATGGGATAATGCTATAGAATACCCACCTGATGAGAATGACATTGACTTCTTAAATAGAAGTTTGATATTGGGATATTGCCTTTCAAATCTGTATGTACAATTCGTAGTCTAAAGTCTCTTTGAAATTGAAGGGTGCATTATAAACAGCGAAGTGTAAAATTAGAAGATTCAAATCTAGCGAGTTTTCATCCTTATTTATTTGTCTATTCACATTAAAATATAACAATCGTAATTGTGAAACAATTTGCATTGTGGTTTTTAATCCTTCAAATATTCTACAGTAACTGCAACTGCATTTGCTAAACAGAGAACAAACCTTTGAAATTAAAATGACTCGAAGGGCATTAACATAAAAGAATGTTGGCTCATGATCTTTAACTAATTGAAGCTAACCAATATTATCTCTGGTTAAATAAACAGACCAACTACAGAGGTGGGCGAAAAGCAAAAGAGGAGAAATAGAATAAAAACCCATAACCATGAAAGTGGGAGAGGGTGAAATTTCGAAGAAACTAAAAACTTTATTATAACTAAGTAGTAATTCAAAGCTGAAATGTACAAACGCTAAACATCAAGTATATATTAATGATAAATAAAATACGCAAGTATGTACAAGTACAACCCTATGATCAAGATTTTCATCATAAAAGTAGAAATACATGAATTTAATTCAATCCAAACTGGCACACAAAAGCTTTAATTTGTAAATTTTGTAAAATGAAAGACTTAGTAATGAAAGCCTCAGATACTTGGCACTAAGCTTTAATTTGATGTAATCCCCTGACCACAAATTACGAGTGGCTTAAGTATTGTGCCACTCTCAAATGCAATGCTTGCACGACCATTGACACCAACAATGGTAGACTTATCAGCACTCACTACTCAGTCACATCATATGATTGAAATTTTGATTGGAGTAGGTCTTTAACGGCTACATCATCCCACTCTAAATTGTTCCACCACTCGGACTCTCCTTTGATTGTAATCAAGCTGTCTTTGGCAGAGTTGGAATTCAAAGGAAGCTTCCTCAGCTTTGGGCAATGATATACACCAATGTGTTTAAGGGAAGGAAAAGCCAATGCTCTCTTATAAATGCTATTCAGCTTTCCCAAATTACTAAGGTGGAGAGTTTTAAGATTTGGGAATATATCATTAGAGTTGTCTCTGTCATCTTCGGCTTCCTTCACCACCTCTTCAATTGAACCACAACTGAAAACACGAAGATACTCAAGAAGCGGAGCATACCTCAGCCATGTCAGATGAGTTATTGAATGGCAATATCTAATCTGCACATGGCGAAGCTTGCAAAGATGGAAAATGTCAGCAATGGATGAGCTTTCCATAATATTTTCAATTCCGAATAACTCTACCCATTCCAGATGCTTCATTTTTGATAGAGATGCTAAAAATGATGCCATATCAAGTGACGTGATACTGTGAAGCAGAAAACGTCTCAAGCAATCCCTCAGTTTGTTCGACTCAAGTAACTTACGGAGGCCTGCGGTGGTTGTTAATTGGATGCACAGTTCTTCCAATTTTGGTAAGCATTCCAACTTCTCTATGAGTGTTTTCTCTTCTTCCGCTCTTGTTGATTCAGATCTGTAACTTAATCTAAACACCTTCAACTGCTCAAGACTTGCAATCTCTTCTAAAGAAATGATGATAGAATCAACATTTTCCATAAGCAATACCCTCAACTTTTTACAATTCTTCAAAACAATTTGCAACCCATTTCCAAATTTTGCACCTGACAGATTAAGGTATTCAAAGCTCATTAATTCTTTTATTTCTGTTAGTATATATACAACATAATTGCCTGATAGGTCTAAGACTTTCAACTTTGTCATGGATTCCAGATTTGAATAGTCAGTGATACTCATATTATCCGCCTTTACACATAGGGTTAGGAGATTTGGACAAGATGGTACTTGCCAACTTCCACTCGCAGCATTTATAATTGAAATCCTTTCCACATCGTTCAACCTTTCAAAATCCATTTCTGACATGCCTAATGCCTCCCCCTCAACTACAACTTTGTCTTTGTTTCCATCTTCATCACGGGCTAACCATAGTGCCATATCTCTTATCACATCATGCATCTTAATTCTAAATGTCCCATTACGATAATCTTCAACGCCCTCTAAGAGACGTGAAAGCTTTAATTTTTCAATGATAGATTCCCCCTCCTCATACATATCATATATACTCTTCTTCATCCTACCTTTACCCAGAAATCCCTCTCCGATCCATCGATCAATGAGATCTTTAACTTCAACTTCATAATCTTCTGGGTATAATGCACAATATAGGAAGCAACTTTTGTGTGTTTCATTTGGGAGTCTGTCATAACTAAGCTTGAGGATATGAAACACATCCTCTTCCAACTTTTTATGTATGAAATAGGAGCGTGTTAAATCATGTATGGCTTGACTCCATGCTGCAACGCTTTTCACTCCTGACATGGCACGTCCAACTGTAACTAGTGCTAGTGGCAATCCTTTGCATTCTTTAGCCATCTCTCTTGCTAACTTTCGAATATCTTGGTGACTGCTTAATGTCTCCTCACCTACCATTTCACAAAACAATTCAAATGCTTCTTGCTCTCCTAAACATTCCACTTTGCAAGTAATATCAACAAAACGTTTCTCCAAGAGTCCATCCACCTCCTTAAGCATGTCCATAACTCTCTTTCCTAACTTGTAGCTTGACACACAATTCTTCGGGCAACAACCGCTTAGACATTTATTATGAGTTTCTTGAGAACCTTGGTTTTGAATTTCCTCCATTACCTGTAAGCAATATGCACAGTAAGACTTGATTAATATGTATGAATTTAATTTTTTTTTTATATTTGATTTTTAAAGTTTTAGATTTTGTATATATCCTGATCTTTAAGTTTTTTTATGTTTATGAATTAGTGAAATAATAGAAAAACTATTTAAAGTGACTTTAAAGTGATCAAATCAACATTTGCTCTTAAATTATTTAATGAGTTAAATTCAAGATACGCTTTATTAAATTTAGGGAGGATATACCCTGTTCAAAATAAGAAGATAGATGAGTATTTTCCATATAGTCCGAGATGGAGTGATCAAATATTGATTGAATTTGGTCTCGCTCCCTAATGTTGGGTTTGAGGTGCTTAAGTGGGTGTTCTATCATGTGTTATATATGGTGGGAAATGGGTGATGTGTCCGCCCCTCCAGTTTCACACTCTTAGGCTAGTGTTTGCAGAGGTAAGGGGTGCAAAAGACCAGTGATCCCCTTACCGGCTTAGAGTGTGAATGTTGCATACATAAGTGCTTGTGCAAAATATCTATTCTTTCAATTGCCTTCCAAGGAGGGATGGACCTAGGGAGGGAGCAGCATTTTTAGTACTACGGTGGTGCTGAAATGGATGCATGTTTTGAATTTTTGTAATTTACACTATATATTTTCGAGAGTACATAGTGTAAATTACAACAAGTTTTTTTCTTCTGACTCCACTACAAAAAATAACCGAGGTGGTGTTTTTTCATTGGCTGGTCGCACCTACAATCATGGTATTGTAAATTTTTTCCTAGGGGGCGTTTGGCTGGAGAGAAATTTTATGAATAATAGGGAAATGTTATTCATAGGAAAATGGTTGGAGGATTATGTTTGGTAGGAAAATGTAAAAAAAGTTGTTTGGTTGGAAAACATTTGGACGGAAGAATTAGGTAACTTTTATAAAGTCTATGTTTGGATGTAGGTAAAATATAGATAAGAAAAAAAAGGAGCTATTACGAAAATAACCTTGTTTTTAAAAAATGTTCTGATGCACACTGTTACTGAAACACAGTCCCTTGTATGTGGTTAAAAAATTGCATACGATTTTGTCCTCTTTTCTCCTACCAAAAAAGAGTTGCATCCACTGGTATCTTGAATAGAATGAATATCATCTCCCACTTTTGTGGGATTCTCAGAAAGTTACAAAGAAAGTAATGTTATTGAGCTTGTACAAACCCGGACCGTTAATTAAGGAAGTTAATTAATTAATTATGTGAAATTAGGAAATAATTTCATAATTGACCCTAATAATTATTATGAGGCTCTAATAATTATAGTAAGTGAGTAATAATGCTGAAAGTCGCTTTTCGGAAGAAAAGTGCAGATATTGGTTCTACTAGTCGGTATAAATGCGTACCGAAAAAGTATCCCGGAAAATTATAATAAGTGCATGATAATTACTAGAATAATATGTAGGACTTGTAAAACGAGTTTCAAGTCAAAATAATGAGAACTGGTGCCGGAAACTGGTACTGGCTATGAAAAGCGCGTACCGGAAAGGTGCTCTGAATATTATAAGAAAAATATGATAATTCTTGTAAAACTGAGTAGGTTAAGAATCCTGAGTTTGAAATTAAAATGCTAAGCATAGCAATTAAAGTTAATACTGTGCGTTTAATTGTTAAGTGGCTGCAGAAGTGGTGGGCACATGATCCTAGGTCTAATGTTTGGCACCTCTACGTAGCTTTTTGCTGAGCCTTTGAAGTCATCCACCCTTGTCACCTTTCTCTCCACCTTTGGGAGCCAAGAAGCCTCATTTCTTCTTGGTTTCTTCATCAAATCACATTGGGTGAGTGTGTATCATCATTGGGAGGTTGTGGGAGACCTTGTTTCTTAGAGTTTGTGGCTGTGTGGTGTTTGTAAGGGGGCTGAGTTGGTGGGTTGTTGGGTTGGATCTTTGTTCTTGGTTGTTGAAGCTCCAAGTGTCAACCTTTGTGAAGAAAGATCAAGTCTTGAACACTATTTTCGTGCACCCTTGAAGTCAGAACCTTTGGAGTTGGTAGTGAGCTCCAAGGACACCCTTTTTGCTGAGTTTAAGCTTTTGGTAAGTTGTACCAACCTTGTTCTTGAGTTTAATGGGTTAAAGATGATGTCTTGGCATGTTTAATGAATTAAACAAGTAACCAACTGTCATATGAACCTAAATGGACCTTAAGATGCATGTTTAAGCTTCTGGAAGTGTTACAAATGGAACCTTGGAAGGATATCTTCGCGAAATGCAGAAACTGCATTCTGTCGCGAAATATCCGGATATCTGCTCGTAAAATATCCGGATATTGGATATCCGGATATGTGGAGCTGGATATCCGGATATTGGATATCTGGATATGGGCATCTGGATATCCGGATATTGATATCCGGATATGTGATATCTGGATATGCCCCCGAGGAATATCCGGATATTCTGGGTTTGTGAGGAACAATAGCGTACTGTTCATCCAGAACTGATCTATGGGTTTGTGGACCCTAGTTTGAGGAAGTTGAACTTCTGTAATTAATTAATGTAAGTCAGAATCATGGGATTAAAGGCTTATGGCTTGGTGAGAAGCCTTAAGACGTAAAACGTAATGAAAAGGCGTTGTCTTTATGTTGTATACTTGTAGAGTATTGATGGGATGTAAATTCGTTCTCGTCTAAGCCCATTTTGATGGCAAAATACCATACGTTCCCTCTTCTGATGAGCAACTTTAGCATGAAAATCACTTGTTTTACACATTTGTGACAAAAACACAGTGGGAGAACGGATGGTAACGTATTCCTTTAAAATAAATTAAAAGGGGAAAGGACTGAGACGCATTTAATACACCTGCTCCATTCATTTAATGCTTCTGTACACTTTGCAGGTAACGTAGAGTTAAAGACTTCTATAAAGCAAGGTGGTGCACCAACTGAGCAGCTGCAAACGTGAAGAGCAGAGAATCAAGAGTTCTCACTGGCTGAAAACAGAAGCAAAACATGGGAAGGTCTGCAAACAACGGCTAATCATCAGCAAAACCTGTTCTATTCAGGAATTCACGCAAGCTTCACACTCTGCTGCCACAGTCTCGTCCCCTCATTCAAGCAACTAGCTCCAAAGGAATTACAGTCTTGCCACTCCTCTTCCAGCTATAAATTGGACCACCCTCACACAAAAACATCATCGAATCCTGGAGGGTTTGCAGTCCGAAAGGAAGAGATCACTTAGTAGTAGTTAGTAACTTAGTTTAATTTTAAGTTTTAACTGTAGTTAAGTGACAACCCCTCTTCTCTTCTCTGTAAACAACCATCAAGACTCCTCACGAGCAAATACCCATCTTTCTCCATTTTCTGTTTCTTTTTGTAAACTGTCTTTTAAATTAATATAAGTGTTTTTCTTTTTGTTCCAATCGTTATCTCTTAACTGAATCTCGGGTCTATGTGATCTCAGTTGAAAATAATTATGTTTAAACTATCAGCCATGAGCTGAACTATCTGTGGAACGGGTAAACTGTGAAACTCTTAAAGAATTATTTTCAAAACTCTTGACCGAAGCTTTTTGTATTTCTTTGGCTAAGTAAGCTATATTCATTGTAAGCCAATGGAAATTGGGTACATACTGAGAAAGGAACTTCCATAAGGAAGGGATTTCAGACAGCTTAGCCATTGGGGGAAGGTAGATGTCATGGCAAAAACGCTACTGGTCACCTTAGGAATAAGGGGCCAACTCGTCCATTTTAAGGTTCTGAACTAAGTACCTGTTGGAGTCAAGGGAGCCGTAGGAATATGGAAACTTGTGAGCCATCTAGACCATGAGTTGAGGAATCAGAGTTGGCAGGCAAAGAAACTGGGACAAAGCCAAAAGGTGCTAAGTCTTGAGCAGAGAAAACAACCCCTTTAAGAGTGAAGCAGTGAATCCGTTCCTTCTGTTAAACTGTTTTAACCACCACCCTATTGTCTCTTGATTATAGTTATTTCTGTTTTAGTAGTTTTATTTATTTTATTTAGTACTTATAAAAACTCCAATGATTGTTATCTCACCTTCTTCTAAACAGGAAGGATCACATACATAACGCAGCGAGCAACTATTTGCCATCAGATTGAACCTACTGTTCCTGAGGAACGTTGTCAAGACAGTAGGGAGCGGTTGACCAGACAGTTCATTTACTAACTTTTCTTCTCATTTTCACTCTTTATAAACAGTGATAAAACAATAATTAGTACTCTATCCTCGTGGGAACGATAATTTGGGCATTAATACTCCCTTTATTACTTGATGCGTGCACTTGAGCACTTGGGTTGGAACTAAGGGACGAATCTGTGTTCTGCAAGAACAGAGGACCGTCCCCTATCAGAACTTATATTTTTCCACCATCAGCAAACCACCCAACAAGTATGATTGTTGATGTATTATTGGTCCATATCAGATTGTGATTCTACTGTGTTTGGACTTTGAGCTGTGGACTCTTGGCTTTGGGTGTTAGCTTGCAAGGTAAGCTTTTGTGTCCTCGGTTTAGCCATGTTGTGGTTCCACCATGTCCCATGGGGGTATGGTTATATGCATGCTGTGTTACATGCTTTGGATATTTGAAATGTTGTTGAACTCTATGTGTAATGACTTTTAATATGCATGTGTTGTTCCATCTTGACGGTAAGCCTGAGTATGTGGCATCATACAAAACGGTAATCCGGGGTGGATGCAAGTGGCGTCTTGCACTATGTGTGGGTATTTGGCGTATTTAAATCCTGCATTTCTCTGGCCAGTAGAATAGTATTGACACACATGACATGATTATCTGCTGCATTGCACTATTTTAGAACTGATGATGATAAACTTCTTTTAAACGTATATTGCACATGTAAGTGAGCTTGGGGTGGAAGATCCTTGAGGACCCCTTATCTTACTGAGATTTCTTGTTTAGATATCTCACCCCACGTTTGGGAATGCTTATTTCAGGATCAGGTAGTATGTGGACTGATGCCTCTGGCGCCAGGAGGCCAGAGGTTAGCTGATGATTATTGCTGTTGTATGTTATATGCTAGCATGACTGGACTGGAAGTTGTTTATGTTTTCCGCTTTATTATTATGTTGATGATTTGAGTTGAGACTTATGTTGGGCTTTGTTGCCTTATTTGGGTGAGCATGGGAGTTGTCCATGCCACTATGTGGTTAGTACCTTTGAGTTGAGTTGTATAAACTGATAGTTGGTCCGGTCTACGTGTTGTAGTTCCGTGACTAGAGACATACCTTATGTTATTTATTTCATGAGGTATTTCAGTTAGCTGTTTTATTGCAATTACATACAGGCGATGTTTTGAAAATGATTAAGTAATCAAGTTGGTAATGATTAATGACATCATAATTGAAAAGAAAAGATATTCCGCAATTTTAATTAAGCGCAGCTTAATACGATAGTATGATAACATTACCGGATATATACGGGGTGTTACAGAGCTCGTACTGCTGGGTTCTTTCTGGAGGCAATATGATTAATCTAATGTTGTCTCTTAATTTCAAAGATTTGCATGTATGGGGTTGATTGAAGTATGTTGGGATAATCACGTTGTTAGCAATCTAAATGTATATTCATTTCTGTTTGATTTTCTATACTTGACAAATATTAGATGATAACAGTTGCTATTTTCATTTTGTTAGATTCTGGTTGATATGATCTGAGTGCCTCATTGGGCATTTGAAGCTGTTGAGATATATAGTCCCACATTGATTGTATGTGCAACTAATGTAGAGTTCATAAGGCCTTGGACACTCTCACCCTTTGAGCTAGCTTTTGGGATGGTGTATCCCAAGGTTCTTTACATGGTATCAGAGCCTCGCCGCCCCCACTTTCTCTTGTGGCGTTTCTTAGCACAGTTAGGCTGGGCCTGTTGCATTGTCCACTCTTCAAGCCCAATGGGCTCTCGTGTGAGGGGGCGTATTGAGATATATAGTCCCACATTGGTTGTAAGTGCAACTAATGTAGAGTTTATAAGGCCTTGAGCACTCTCACCCTTTGAGCTAGCTTTTGGGGTGGTGTATCTCAAGGTTCTTTACATGGTATCAGAGCCTCGCCGCCCCTCACTTTCTCTTGTGGAGTTTCTTAGCACAGGTAGGCTGGGCCTGTTGCATTGTCCACGCTTCAAGCCCAAAGGGCTCTCGTGTGAGGGGGTGTGTTGAGATATATAGTCCCACATTGGTTGTATGTGCAACTAATGTGGAGTTCATAAGGCCTTGGACACTCCCACCCTTTGAGCTAGCTTTTGGGATGATGTATTCCAAGGTTCTTTACAGAAGCTGCTGGTCAAGAAGCAAGGGGCATGGGCCAAGATGCTGCTGCATATCATCCAGGACTTTATATGCTGCTGCTTATGCATCCAAACCAGATGGCTTCGAAAACTGTATGGAGAGCATACAAAAAATTTGCTGTTGTGTATTACAAGAGCAATATTGGATTGACAATTAAGTAATTTATTTCCCCTTTTGATTTTATTAACAGAGTTTCAGCCAAGGATTGGTGGCACAGGGATCTGTACAATATAGATTACAACTATCATCAATTTCTTGTGCGTGTGGTCCAAGTACCTGTTCATTAATGCATCAATTTCTTGTGCATGTGGCAGAGGGTACGCTCGTAATATAGTTATTAGACAATGTGATCATTTAGATAGATAAAGAACAATACCACATCTCAAGTAGGAAAATTTGGCCTGCTATTTCCATCCAAAAGACATGCAAAATTAAGTTGTTGGCTATATGATTAGCATAGGCAAATTAATATGGAAGCCCTTGAACCAAACATGGACAGCTAACAAACCCACTTCTAATTTGTCTATATATCTCATCATAATCCTCAAACCAAACACACCCCTAAGGAGGGGATCGATAGCAAGGGTAGCCGCCCCTCCCTAAGTTTTAATTTTTTATTTTATATATAAAATAAACTTTTTTTAATAATAATAGATTATTAGTACTAATAGTTAGCTCCCTTCAAAAATATTCATAATAGTTTCCATTTTTTATTAGTTTTAAATATATTTATAATTATAATATTTTATTTTCACTGGTTATTAGAAAAAAATTTGAGTCTGTCACTGCTTACAAGTGGTACAACTATTTTACTAATTCTTTTAATAATCTCAAAATTATTTTTTTATTAAAAATTAGAACTGTTAATAAATAACATGAGGGAAAGAAATTTAAATATTTTTCAGAATAATCTCTATTTAATTACATTTGTATCTAACTATCCTAATAAAAAAAATTTCAATGTCGTATTTGAAAACGTTTGAAGAGATAACGCTACAACAATACAATATAATTGTATAGTAAAATTTACACAATCTAACACTTTTCTTCTTTTAAATAAATTAATGGCAATCGAGAGATGTTCCTACAATTTCTTTACAAAATGAATGATAATGAAATTTTAGAGAGGCTTACTAAGTTCATGATCTATATCTCTCCAATATGGTAGAAAGTGTTGCCGATTTTCTTACTTATTTTTATCTAGTTCTGTTTGATATAACTTTTTTCGTGCCATAATTATGTATTGTACCTAAACAAGTGTGAATAAATTGGTAACGGTAAGGAGCCTAGCAACATTCTGCTTAATTTGAAGACTAGACCTTTTATTGTTTGTCCTTGAAGAACAAAAATTGGTTTCATTCACCAAGACATAGGTAGCTAAAAGGTGTCTAAATTATGCATGGGTCATATATATATACAATATATCTACCACACGGCATTGATTTTCTATGCTTCGAGTTTAATACGAAAAAATATAAGCAAATAACTGGATAGCGAGCATTTACCAAATGAAGTGTGTGTTTACCTTTTGAAGATTTTGAACTTTTTCCAGCCAACCATTCACTTCCTCTGTCCTTTTCATCTCCCCAGTCTCCTCAGCATCATCGATTCTTCTATGCAGATCCTTCCTAATGCTTTGAAGATTAACCCACTTCCTTTGTAATGATTCTAGATTCTTCTCTAGCTTATAAACATAGGCAGCATGGACGTTACCGCAGCTGAACAAACAGGAAGCAACTTCCCAAAGTACTCCTACAACCTCCATGGTTTTATCTATAGCTCAAACAATTGTTAATACCTCCATTACTTTTTATTTTAAAAAAATGCAAAAATGAAGAGAAAAAGAAAAAAACTCATAAATAAAATATAGAAAAGCAATAATGTTAATGATCATGAAAAAGTATATAGAAAAGGCCCAAGACCCGGTTTTCAAGAATTCAGAACCAAATTAAGAATCTTAACCCTTAACGAGTAGGAAAAAAAATTTATTTATTGTAATTTAATTAAATAATTATGTAAATATGACAGTTTGGGGAATATTTACGCATCTATTGCACATTGTGACGCTCCACTGGGGTGTCTCTCATGAGGGGAAGACGACCAAATGGGACGTCTCTCATGAGGTGGTGACACGTGTCACTTGTTTTTCCAAACAAAATTTAATTTAATCATAAAACTTCTAAATGTCATAACTTTTGACTCGAGTATCCAAATCAGGTAATTCTTTTTTTGATTCCACATAACTTTTCTAGATCTACGCAATGACATCTCATTTGATATATTTTATTTCTCACCAACATAATTTAAATTTAAATCAGGTAATCCTTCTTCCTTATATATTTAGAATATTTATTTAATTATTTTCTTTATTAATACAGATTTTTCAAATTGATTTTTGAGTTTAAATCACAAATTAAATCTTTATTTTATTTTCCTTATTAATAATAATTGTTACTTTTAATTTAAATCACAAACCAAATTTTTTTATAATAAAAAAAAATAATTATTTTTTAATTTAAAACACACATCAAATCTTGATTTATTTTTTGTATTAAATCACAAACGCAAAACTCAGAAGCTTCTGAGTTTAAAAATGTGACACGTGTCAACACTTGTCAAAACCTAACACATCACTAATCACGTCTAAATTGGGTTTCAATCAAGAGAAAATCACGCCTAATTTAGGTAATTTTATTTTTGAAAAACATTCATAAGCCATCATTAATTTCAGACCACGAATAATAACCCAGAAACTTATAGCATTAATCATTAATTTTAAAAATAATATCCTTCTTCATTAGAAATTTAGAATATTTATTTAATTATTTTCTTTATTCCTACAGATTTTTCAAATTGATTTTTTAGTTTAAATCACAAATCAAATCTTTATTTTATTTTCCTTATTAATAATAATATTTTTTATTTTGAATTTAAATCACAATCCAAAATTTTGTTATAATAAATAAAATTATTATAAAATAAATTTAAATCACAAATCAAAATTTTTATTTATTTATTTATATTAAATCACAAATCCAGAAACCAGAGGCTTCTAGGTTTAACCGCTCCTATAATAGCATTCTTACAAATTAAAATTGTGTTTGTGAGAAATAAAATATGTCAAATGAGATGTCATTGCGTAGATCTCGAAAAGTTATGTGGAATCAAAAAAAGAATTACCTGATTTGGATACTCGAGTCAAAAGTTATGGCCTTTAGAAGTTTTATGATTAAATTAAATATTTGTTTAGAAAAACAAGTGACACGTGTCACCACCTCATGAGAGACGTCCTATTTGGGCGTCTTCCCCTCACGAGAGACGCCCCAGTGTGCAATAGATGCGTAAATATTTTCCAAACTGTGATATTTGTGTAATTATTTAATTAAATTGCAATAAATAAATTTTTTTTCCTTAACGAGTAACATATGACTGAATAAGAAATATGTTTATTGTACTGAAAAAAGAAAAAAAGAAACACGTTTATTTTTCCTCTAAAGCGATAAAGTACGCAATTTCGAAATGAGAATAAAAAAAAAATTAATTTCATGCTATCAATTATATTTTCCCAAACAAGTTAGCCTGAATATATCATGATAGGTACTTGATTACACTCACAAGAAACCATGATCAATTCACTACTGCCATTTGAAAACCTTTACACTTCAACTTTAGTTTAATAAACACACACACAAACACTATCATGCAAAATAAAATGGTCTTCTTTACCTTTAAAAGGACGCAAACAGAAGAAAAGAGAATGGTCCCGTGGCTTTTCACACTCATAGGATTCGAAGACATGAACTAGAATTCCAACTTCAACAAATTGGCCATCCAAACCTCTTTTGCCAATATTTAAAGTCTTTACTATTCCGCGAACCCAATATAAATAATTGTTTCTACTGCAATCTTTTCGGTGGCCAAAGATCTTTAAAAGCAACTGGCCAAATATCATTCTAATGTTGTTTTTTGAGTATCTTACAATCTTAGATCCATGCGGCTTTTTTCTAAACCAGATATTAGCACAATAAAAATCCAACAATGTTGCAAATTTAAGTTTGGCAGTTTGGTGTCCGGGCAGAGAACATGATATACGTTAGCAGCGATTTCATGTGGTGGGTCTCAATAATACAAGTGGATCTCGTAAAAAACGATTTCACCCAAAAAAACTTATATAACACACTGATAACATGTAAAGAATTATTTCACTTCAAAATCTTAAACTAATAGGAGAGGCTAGGTTAATGATTTTTATATTATATTTCTCGTAGAAACATCATAGATTAATTAAGTTTGGCAGTTGTATGGAGGTTTAAGCTCATGTTTATTATTTGATATGTTGAGGATGTTTTATTTTCAGATACTAAAGGAGCGGAAATGTTGCAGGGACTGTGTCATAACAAATATATTATTATTTCATGATGTTCGGTTAGGAACCTCGTTTGTTTGTACCCCTTATTAATTAGAAGTTGAATCTCATACCATATTTATGAATATGGAATCAAAATGGCACCGTAAGTAAAAGGATTTAACGTACCCGGAATGTGACTTTCTCCAAAACAGCTTTGATGCGTAACTCTTTTAATTTCTTCAGATCAGATTGTTATTCAACGTCTTCTCCTCTTCAAATGTCCTAAATCAGATATCAACTGCTGCACCCATTAAGAACTATTTTTTTTGTCTCTTTCCTGCTCTCCAAGGCTTCATTCCTTTTTCCCGCTCCTTTTGTTCTCTTTTCTCATTGTTATACGCAGTGTAACTGACAAGCTGGGCTGTTACCATATTTTTCTAATCGAAGTATGAATACAAAGGGACAGTAACCAAAATGTCATGCTTTGGCAAAAAAATTAGCAGAATGCCACGCGAACAGTAAAATCTTTCAAACTGTCACGCGGCATAATTCGCTACACAGTGTAGCAAAATATGCCACGTCAGAATGTACAGAACCAAAAAGTGTCATGTGTCAGAATTGATGAAATTTATGTAGCGAATTTCATCAATTCTGACACATGGCACTTTTTGGTTCTGACGTGGCATATTTTGCTACACTGTGTAGCGAATTACTTGCATACATAATTTGCTACACTGTGTAGCGAATTATGCCGCATGACAGTTTGGGAAATTTTACTGTTCGCGTAGCATTCTGGTAATTTTTTTGCCAAAGCGTGGCATTTTGGTCACTGTTCCAATATAAAGTAAGGAAAAAAAATTATTAATTATGATCGCTTACATTATTTAAAATAAGATAAAATAAAATAATATTTGATAAAAATTTAATATAATAAAAAAATTAAAAATTAGTAAAGCTTCACCTAACTTTTAAGTTTTAGAAAATCAAGTAAAAAATCTGTTATATTCTTAGCGTAACCAAAGGGAAAAGAAAAAGCATAACTCCGCACACACGAAATATACTCTCCACTTTATAGCCTAACTTGACACAAAACACAAACCCAAAGATAGGGAAATTAACATCGCATCAATTCCTCTTTACAGCCTATATAATTTATTTTTGGGAAAAGTTGATACTTTTTTATCACTTACATCCTTATATTTATTGGGTATGGCTCATACTTCGCATGTTGATGAGAACCCTCGTTATCGGAATCAGCAGAAAGGAAACTGAGGTCCCGTAGAGGTTAGGTACTGTTGTAGGCCTCTGATTTATTATAATTTTGTCTTTTCTTAATAGTTTGGGCTTAAGCCTATGAATAATTGCTGTTAGGATTTTCTAATCCTATTTATATTTTATTTATAAATCGAGTGACTTGTAACGAATGACAATGAGGTGAATATAGTACAGACAAGCTAGACGTACCCTAAATTGGGTGAACCAGGATAAATCACTATGTCAATTCTCTCTCTCTTTCTCTTTTCGTTTGCGATTTGTGTGTGATTGTCGATTTCTAACAATATTTTTTTATTATCAATTACTGGTTGTGATTTTATTCCATCAAAATCCACATTTAATATCGTTAGTAATTGAACTAACTTACCTATTTATCCTAATTTTATTTGTTGATTAATCCGATATAGAAAATTTGGCCACCAGTAGTAAATAAGCAAAGTTTAGGTTCATTATAAAGAGATGAAGAACAATCAAGTGTTGATAAACCTTTAGTTTATCTTGTTTTGTAGACTAAATTTACATGAATTATCAAGTTAAATAAGTGAAAACTAGGGTTTATTGATATAAAAACATGAACTAGGCGAATTATGAATTAAATAATTTATATTTGCTTAATTTGAAGGTAATTGATGATAAATGGAAGCAAATATGACACCTGGAGATATAAAGATCAAGACTTGAAGATATGAAGATCTCAATTGAAGAAAATAAAGAAAATCATGTTTCTTGAAGAGGAGGCTTAATGTAAGAACCCACACCATTAATTAAGGAAGTTAATTAATTAATTATATGAAATTAGGAAATAATTTCATAATTGACCCTAATAATTATTATGAGGCTTTAATAATTATAGTAAGTGATTAAGAATGCTGAAAGTCGCTTTTTGGAAGAAAAAGTGCAGATACCGGTTCTGCTATTCAGTATAAATGCGTATCGAAAAAGTATCCCGGAAAATTATAATAAGTTCATGATAATTACTAGAATAATGTGTAGGACTTGTAAAACGAGTTTCAAGACAAAATAATGTGAACTGATGGCAGAAACTGGTACTGGCTATGAAAAACGCGTACCAGAAAGGTGCTCCGAAAAATATAAGAAAAATATGATAATTCTTGTAAAATTGAGTAGGTTAAGAATCCTGA